TGAAGGTCGAGATTCCTCCTGTATCTGTTTCAAGTCAAAATCGATTCTGCAGGCATGTAAAAGCATAAACTCGCAATTTCATGTAGAGTTTTCGAAAATGAAAATTTGCAGAAATCGAAAACGGAGATATGCTGTAGAATCGAAAAATGATTACTTGCCACATGGCATCATTTTATTGGATGCCATAAAATTGAAATTGAGGAGCCAGGTATGGAGCTATGGAGGTGCGCCCAGCACGGAACAAAATTAAGAAGCTTCAATTTAATTGACTCGCAGGGTCTTATTAGAGGCGCGCGGAGACGCTGGGCATATCGTGCAATTGGTTTTCTACATGTCAAGAGTTCAAATGGACACTTATCTTTATGGTGCAATTGGTTTTCTACCTGTCAAGAGTTCAAATGGACACTTATCTTTATGTTTTATGGCAGACCTTATTCAAGGCTCCCCCACATAAACTTAGGTAATCCAGAGTTCTCTAATAAACTGTTAATCATATCATTAAAAGTTCTATTTCTCCGTTCAGCTACTCCATTTGATTGTGGTGAATAAGGAGGTGTTTCTTCATGTACTATACCATATTTTTGGCATTCTAGTACAACTAAATTAGAAGTGTACTCTCCTCTCCTACCAGATCTTAACCTTTTCATTTTCTTGCCAATTTGGTTCTCTATTTCATTCTAAAAAAATAAGAATTTTTCAAGAACTTCGTCTTTACCCTTAAGTAGATACACATGACAATATTTAGAATAATCGTCAATAAAAGTGATAAAGTATTTCTTTTTGTCACGAGTCAACACTCCATTAAACTCACAAATGTCGGTATGAATTAAATCAAGTCATTCCTGAGTTTCTATCAATTGAATGATAAGTTTTCTTACTTGTTTTGTAGTAGCACATACCAAATATTTCTTAGTTTTATCAATTGAATGTCTAGGAATTAAATTTAAATTCATCATTCTTTTCACGGAATCTAAATTAACGTGACCCAACCGATAATGCAATAAAATTGAAGAATCAAAATTCTCAGATACATAATTTAATTCAAAATAATCAACCACAATCTTAAAAAGTCCATCTGACAAGCAATAGAATATTTATAAAATAAAAAATTTAATTTTCTTTTTAAAAAATTAAAAATTAAAAATTAATAAAAAATAGTAAAACTCCATAAAAAATTTAACAAAATTATGGATGCCTTTCCCACCGCCTGTACTACCGTGAATAAAAGATAGACTAATTATCAATCCGAGACCTGAAAGATGAAATGCATCGATATAGGACCCGAACGAAGGAAACATCAATTCAAGACCTAACTTTCATAAGTTTTTATTTGGCACAAAAGTTATTCCAAATAATGTGTGTATGTGTGTGTGAAAATGTGTAAAACATATATATTTGTGTGTAAATAAACTAATGCGTAGTACTCGTATAATATATAGTTGGATTTAAAAGTAAACCATTCAATTTGAAAAAGAAAAAGAAAAAAGAACAAATACAGAAAAGTAATCCGGAGTATCTATATACTACGATATTAAGTGACTTAAGTCATTTTCCCGCTCTCGATCGGGGTATATTTGTAAACTCTGATAGTTTTTTTTGCCGAGAACTCACTCGCGTATGCTCTGGAGTCTGGAGTTCTCAAGCCTTCTTTGCCTCTTTATTAATTTTCTAGCTCTCGACTATGTCTATAGCTCTCTCAATTTCTCTCTTTCTCTCTTTCGATTACAGCTTTCTCAATGGCTCTCGATTTCTTTTCTTCTTACTCAAACAGATGGGATTATTAATTCTTCGGCTTTGTGATTATGCATTTATGCTTATAGATTATGCTCTGTGATTCTCACTTGTTGGGTCATGACTCTCGGTCAATTGCCTGGATTGGAGAGTCCATCGTCAATCACCTGCCTGGATTGGAGAGTCCATCATCATACACCTGCCTGGATTGGAGAGCCATCATCAACGATTTATTGCATTATTGGTTAGTTTTCTGTCTCAAATCTAACTCTTTTTATTTATATATTTCACATGCCATATCATAATCTAATTTTTTTCCCCTGGATTTCATCTATAACCCTAGATTTAGATGAAAGTGTATGTCGAATCTATCAATTCTCCAATGACTGCAAATGCTCCTTTCAAACTCATTTTAAAGAATGTGAATATTTAAGCTTGAGTGCAAATTCTCCGATGATTGCAAATGCTCCAAGCCAGATCACTTGAGTGTTTCAGCTTCAGTATTATTCCATATGTACTTTCTGAAGGCATTAAAAGAAAATTTGGAGTTCCTTGGGTATGAGATATCAAGCTGGAGAATGAGGCGGAGTGTGTAAATATAATAATTTCAGACTTTTCATCTACAAACTAAACCAAGGGTTAATTCTATTTTAAAAAAAGATCAACTATACTTTTCATCTACAGAATTTCGCATGATGCTATAATTTATTTGCAAATCAATTTTTCGATAGTTGTTAATGCGTTTTTAACTACTTATCTTTAATACCACAAATTGTGGTTGATTGAGAATAGAATACACATTGTTATATATTTTGAATGAATTGAAAATTTATATTTTATGTTGTTTTATAGAGCTAAACATGTATTGTATAGTTTAGGTACTCTCTAAATCTGCATATGTATTGTTTAAAATGCTTAGCTTAACTTTTTTTGTTTCTTTAAATAGTCTTACAACAGAAACGTTAGTTATGTCATATTAACTTTATTGATCACATGGTTAGAGTGTTTTATGGTCAAGCCATATGTCAGATTAGAATCTAGAAACACAACATGGTTTTAATCTTCACTCGAAATAAGTTAATTATAAAGTTGTCTGAAACAATTAGTTTGTAAACATTTAGGAAATAGGTAGTCAACATGGTAATTACATCTAAATTAGTTTTTGGATGAAATGATTCAGGTGCTTCTTAGTTCTAGAGCATGTAAACATGGATAAATTACTTTGTGTTTTTATTATGATTCTAATATCACCTTAGTGACATAGTGCAATTCTTTCATTTACATAGCATATGTTATGATTAAGATGGGGTTTCATTTTTTCTCACTTAAAATTACTTTATAGTAAACCATTCATTTCATGTATCACTTTAATTACAAAGTGCAGTCTTCTTCCTTTTAATTGAATAGATATAAAAAGAATACTAAGGATTTGACTCGTCATTCCTTCGTCTTTTTTTTCTTTCTATGATCGAACAGAATGCATTTTTCACAATAGAATAAAATTACACTAATCTACTTTGAGTACTTTCATGCATCGGCTCTCATTTTCATGTAATACCAAAAGCCATCAATGAGAAATTGAAATACTGCAAAACTGTTATATATAAGTCATAAGGAAGCATCGCAAACTTACGGGAAAAGTTAATGATGCAACTTCCTAAAAATGGTTGAGAATTATTATAAAAACCTATACACTACTCAACTACTACACGGGTTAGTTGAGCATGTAAATTAGTTCCTACTTCATTTATATATAGAATTGATAGAGTTCTTTTGTAAAACTTTTTATTGGTTTAGAACCAACTAACCAAGTAGGATAGTGATGTGATGCTTTTCATTCTGGATGCTCTTTCTTAATTGAATTACTTTCATACCATCTTATTAAAGATATCTTATTGAAGACGATGTTGTTTTAATGGAGTTATTTTCTTTGGATACGCGAGTGTAAGAGGAATTATCATAGCTTATTAGCTTTGAGGAGGATCGTGAGTGCCTACTTCATTGATAGTCTTTTTACTAGAAAGAATTATACATTATTAGTCAAATAGGGCTGAATTATTAGACAAAAGGCCTGGCAACTGTGCTGTTTTGAGATAGATATGGGATGTTAAAAAGATTAAGAGAGTCCGATTCTTTCTACTTTAAAAAAGTTATTCTTTTAAAGTGATTTTGGAGAAAATGTTTAATAGTAAAAGCTAATGTGTTCTGCAAAAATAAAAGTTGATAGTGTTTGGTAGAATAAGTGTCTTTTGTGCAATAGAAAAAGTGAAAAGCAGTTTCAAACACTCATAAATCTACTTTCAGCTTTTAACTTTTAAGTGCTTAATTTAAGCAGAAACTGTCACTTGAAAACACTCATTTCAACTCTTTTTAATCCAAAAACGGAAAAGCATTTTTTTTATATAAACTCCCTAATAATGCTTGCTCAAACTAAAGATGTGTATTGAGGCCATGTAATTAGGGGTGGACTCGGGTCCGGGTCGGGCCTAGGCCCGGCCGGGCCGGCGGTTCAAGAATGGTGGACCCGGGACCGGCCCGGGTAGCCACCGGGTCCGGTCCTGGCCTCCGGGTTGGATTTTTTTTTTTTTTTTTTTTGCTTTCCTAACCCCCCCCCCCCCCTCCTCCTCCCAAACCCCCCCAAACCCATCCTACGGTCCAACTCATCAAGCCCAACCCGGGTGGAAGCCCAAAAATGAAAAAAAAAATTAAAAAAAATCAATTTGGCCCGGGCCCGGGCCCGACCCGGCCGGGCCGATTCACCAAAATTCAGACCCGAGCCCGGACCCGCCCTACCCCCCGGGCCTAGGCCCGACCCGGACCCGGACCCGAGAACCGGGCCGGTCCCGGTCCCGCACAGTAGCGGGCTGGGCCGGTCCACGGGCCGGGTGGCCCGACCCGAGTCCAAGCCTACATGTAATGATCAAACCGAACAAACTTTATGCACATTCATAGTCCTTGGAACAATTGGATGACTTTGTGGGCACATTGTTGGTCTATTTATCCCGTGCAACGCACGGGTAAAAGACTAGTTTTTGTAATAGAAGCAAAGCAAGCTACGAATTCATGATAGGACACAAAAAGATTCATATACCGGTCTGTTGAGCTCATAGTCACATGGACAATGGTATGCTCCGAACGAAAACTGGAGCATGGTTCGCTACTATCTGAAATCCAATACAACTGGTGCAAATTCAGTTACATATCTAATAAGTTTATCCACATTAAACTTTTTAATCAAGAAAATAGACTCTAAAGTCAGCGGGGTCAAATTTTCCATCAAAAATAGGTTATTCTTATTAAAAAGTCTTTGATATATGTGCATTTATTGATTATAGGATTACATGAGCAAATGAGTAAAGCTACGGAGCTTAAAATGACAAAGGTAGTCATGGCTTGTAAAAAAAGAGACCATTCCCTGGAAAATACAGAAATACAGCATGCAAGTTGAAAACTGTGTGTAAAATAGCTGCATAGGCGTAAGAAATCCATACATATTAATAACTACAAACACACAAGTCAATAACCCATTATTGAGCACCCACCAGTGCACCTGGAAAACAAAACAACCAGAAATAATCACTGACTAATCTCACTCTTTTGTTTTCATTTAGGAAATGAACACTGCCTAATCAAGACATGAAAAACTAAGGCTCCATTTGGTGGTAGACCTAATCTCCTCTAAACAGCATAGGTGTCTTTTGAATTGATTTGGTTGAAATAGACTTTGATGTTAATTACTCCTTTTAGATGTGGGATATCAGCAAAGTAAGTACACAGAACAGACCTTAATCGAGCTCTTTCTGGACCTTGATCCCCATTGAGTTTGCAGTGCCGATAATAGACTTAGAAATGGACTCCAGAGACATATACTGGCAAAAGGGATCACTTTGTTTGACCTTTGCAATTTCATATACATGCTTTAGGGTTATCGTAGAGGCGATCACGTGACCAGGGCGGCTGCTGCCGCTCTCCACCCCGGCCGCCTGCTTCAGGTACCAAGTGACTGACGGTGATTTCAACGTGAATTCGAAGGTTCCGTCCTTGAAAGCCGTTATCGTAACGGACATAGGCGTTCCAGGCTTGTATTTCTGCGTACGGGCATTGAAATCCTTGCAGAAAGCCATGGAGTTCAGCTTGTATTGACCTAAAGCGGGGCCTACTGGCGGTCCAGGCTTTGCAGCGCCGGCGTCAACCCTTAGTCGGATTGTCGCTGCCAGGGGACGCCGAGTCAAGATCTCCTTCAACGTTGCCATATTTTTTCAGCAACCACCTCCCTTCTTTAATACGGGGAAAGTTCCGAACACTCTAAACCAGGCCGGATCTGGAGAAAATGGGGATCCTGTGAAACAAATTTTTTTGGGTCTTCCTCTCCAAATTCTAACAAAAATAATGTGTTAAAATATAAGTTCCTAATGAACATCTATATAATATAGTAAAACACAAAATTCCCAAGGAGGGAGGACAAGGGGTGTTGGTCGGGAAAAAACATAGGAAGTTGCACCGTTGCATGGCAGCAGTTTGCACGCCAAACAATTAATCACTTAATTAAGGATTATTGTATTTCAATTGTTCTAGAACTCTTTAATACTATGGATGCACCTACATATAAAGGAAGAAACAGAAAATGCTTGGTTGCAATGACGTCTTTCCATTTATCTAGGTCTTGGATGAATAAAAAGACTGCTAGATTTAAATATTGTGTCCTGAGCTTCTCGAAGCATTTAATTGCATTAGCTTTTTGGATTCACCGAGATGTGTACATCTTTTTCCATAGCATTACTGCATTAGTAATTAATTTTTGTATTCTTTGTTATACGGAGTATATACTATCGTATTTTTCTCCCCTAGGTTGTGCTTCTCGAAGTACATGCAGACAGAGTGTAAACAATTTAAACTAATTAATTGTCTTCTCAAGGTTCAAGAATTAATGCAATTACATATGGAGTGAGGCTTGGAGGCCATTTTGAAGTATTCTTCTAGACTCCTAACATGTTCTCAATGTGGAATTCTTCAATTAGAAACTCTTCCAATGTAGCTTTCGATGAATAAATACTGTGGATGCATTTCAATTAAAGGCTACATAATAAACCTTGACTTTTTGAATTTCATTGCTGCCTATATATAAAAGACTATACTCACATCTACCATCACATGGATCTTTAATCAAGCTTCATGTTCACCTTCAAACGCCTGCACAAAAGAAGAAAAACAATTCCACTCAAGCAAGAGCTTCTTCAGAATAAATTGTAGCATCCACTTGAATGGAATTGGACACTCCATTTTAGATACACTCTGTTCAGGAAAATACAATTTATCCCAGATAGTCCATAAATTTAAATTAGATTACTTCTACGGTGATAGGGACCTACCTATTAGATTAATAATAGAAAGAATAATAATAATAGTTGTAATAAGGGTATGCAGTATTGTAGTATAAATAGATGAAGGGGGGGGGGGGGGGGGGTAGTAGGTAGGCTGTTTAGACTTTTGTCTCGTACTGGGAAGTTAGAGACTAGTAATCTCTCTCTTTGGGCGCTTCGGCCATTGATAGTGTCTTCTTCAATAAAGTTTGCAGTTCTTGTTCTTGATATTTCTTTGTGATTTTTCTGTAAAATTGGTTAGTTCTATCGGTGGTATAAGAGCACGTTGATCGTTGGGTGATTTTTACGTGCACTAGGATGGAAAAACGATTGAACGAACCGGAAAGAAATCAAGTAGCTATGGCGGGCCTGGCGGCGAGTATAGCAGAGATACGAGCTACACTAGCGACTTTGGTTAATCGAGACCAGAACCGATCCAGAAGCAGATTGCATACTTCGCATCGGACTTCGGGGCACATACATGCGAAGAAGTTCGATAGACCAGAAGGTGCGGAAGGTAATTCCGAGTATTTCCCTTCGCATCAAGAGGATCGATCGGAGTCATCCCAGTCGAAATTGCGAACTTCTGATCATATTTCGCAATCGCGAAAGGTTTCTCACCTTTTGCATAATTCTTCATCGCAGTCTAAATCGCGAACTTCTTCTCATATTTCGCAATCGCGAACAGTTTCTTACCCGTCGCAGAATTCTTCACCGGCTATCAGTTCACGACCAAGAAAGGCACGATTGAGAGATGAATCTCCATCTTCATCGCCATATTCTTCCCTATCAGAATTGATGAGTTCGCAAGTTTCTCAAACTGCTAAAGATTCTCCCCAGTCAATAAATAAGACTGAGATGGAACAAACGGAATCTGTCATCAAGAAAATGAATAAGAAGGACGAAACCGGGGAGCAAGAACAGATTATCCAATGGCCAGAAAATTCGTGCATTGGTAAAAAGAGATCTGGTACAGAGGCTCAGGAGGAGATGGTCGATATTGTTTCAGGAGAATCTGCTATTATCTGGGAAAACCACCCACAGATTCAAGATGCTGACAAGCATAGCCAGTTCCAACACCTCGGCAGATATTCAATGCAACTGGCAACCTTAAATATCAAAGACTTAGCAGGTTCTTTACCTGCTGAGGTATCCAAATGGGTACAAGTAAGGTGGGCAAAGTCTTCAGGGTATGGTACAATGTTGAATTACTTAACTGTGGGATCATTTTTGCAACCTGCAGAAGTACTAGAAGCAGAATTTCAGCCAGGGACTGAAAGCATGTTAGGCTACTCCCAGCTTGACTTACATGATTCATTTAAAGCACCTGGAAATTATCTCATGTTGGAAGACATTTCTCCAAGGACAGCTCTAACCTTCCCTGATGTTTTTGAATTCTTCACAAGGTTAATACAGAGAATGACCTTTAAGAATTACCTGCAGGCTCTAGACGAAGTTGCTGATATATCAAAATTTTCAAAGAATCTATATGGTGATCCGTTCCATTCTATGGCAAGATCTTCTGGAATGCCAGAAAATTATCTGGGACAGAACAACCTTGGTTTTCGTTGGATTTATGGCCCTTTGCCTAGTCTTAAAATTGACAGCAGGGTGTGCAATATAATGGAACAAATGCTACTTCTGTTTCATGATGGGGGAATACCATTGGAGGTTGTTGAAGTCTTAAATTCAAAAAGAGGAACACAGTATGACACAAGTTCTTATAAACTTTCTTTTGACATGTGTGTGGATGAAGTTCTGTACAAGCTATTCAGTGAGAAGTTTCACTCAAGAGATAGGATGGAGTCTGAGGGACATGCAATGCTGAGCATGGTCAAGAGTTTCTCATCTAGAGGACTAGAAGTCTGGAAACTTCTTATACCACCATCTGCGAGGTACTGGGAGGGCAGAGGCACCGGGAGGGCAGAGGCACCGGGAGGGCAGAGGCACCGGGAGAAAGCGGAATTCCAGACTTGGTTCCTATCATCCCACCTTGAGGGCAAGGTGGATTCTCAAAGGGGGGAGTATTGATAGGGACCTACCTATTAGATTAATAATAGTTGTAATAAGGGTATGCAGTATTGTAGTATAAATAGATGAAAAGGGGAGTTAGTAGGTAGGCTGTTTAGACTTTTGTCTCGTACTGGGAAGTTAGAGACTAATAATCTCTCTCTTTGGGGGCTTCGGCCATTGATAGTGTCTTCTTCAATAAAGTTTGCAGTTCTTGTTCTTGATATTTCTTTGTGAATTTTCTGTAAAATTGGTTAGTTCTATCATACGGTTGTCAAAGTTGACTCATTTCCAATGGTTGTAGGTGAGACTTAAGAGAAGGTATGTATCTTTTAACTTTAAACAAAAGTAAATTAAGTAAACGAAGAAAATTTAGCATTCTACTTTTAACGTTTCATACTCTGCATGTATACGTTTTCTGACCATTCCATACTTCCTATAACACATTTTATAACATCTTTAAATTACTACTTGCAGTTTGCTAGATGGTATAACAATCACTGATAAGTGTAATATTTAGCTTCTAACATTCTTAAGCATCAAGATTATTTAGCATTTGATAACATATTTGAATTACTACTTGCAATTTGCTAGAGGGTTCATTAGCAATCACTAATAAGAGAAAATTTTAGCTTCAAACATTTTACGGTAGAGTGTTATCTGTACCGGTAAGTAACTGTCCTCATAAGAAGCATTATCTAAAAGCTAAAGATGACCAATATAACTCTATAAGCCTCACATATGTTGTTGGTTTTAAAGATGTTCCTGATGAGTGATGAATAATCATCTCTACATTCATTTAAGCTTTACATAATGAATGATTTCTTTAATATTTTCTTTCATACATTCTGTTCAAAATTTAAACAGATTTAAGCCAATTGAGAGTATATTGAGGTTAGTTTCTTAATGAATCTTAAAAATGTGCTTTGGTCAATTGGACATTTAAAAAAACAAATTACTTCAAAAAATTGTAATTAAAAAAAACTAATCTTAAATTAATAACTTGGTTTTCTTATATAAAAATTGTAGAACTTATATTACGGATTAAATTTGGAATAAGCCAAAATACGTAGTAGAGAAACTAGGAGAGTTTTATACTTTTTTCAGTATCATTTTGTGATCAAATTTGACTACTTCCATATATTTGCCTTCAACCCTAATGCTGGTACTTAAGTTTCATATTACTGGGTACATAAATTGAAGGGTACATAAAGCTTAGATTATGAAAACAAATTCCACATAAATTGGGTTCCTTAACAAAATACGAATCAAAGAAATATAGAAATATGCTCCATTGAATACGCTTTTCATGTTCAATTTTGATCACCAGAAAGACGACATCCAGTTGTTAGGTACAACAATTAAATAATAATGATATAAAGTTATAATGAGTCCAATTATTTTCTAACCAAAATAAAAACCTCTCAAAAAAAATATACAAAAAACCCACTTTTAGGCTAACCAATTTTTTCGAGTGATTTTTGACCGGCAGAGTGGCAAGTTTTCTGAAAATAAAAACAATCGTAAATTTCTGCCATTTTGAGATCTTAGGTAAAGATTTGTTATCTTATATTTTTTCTGAATGGTTCTGTCGTTCTGGTGACGCGCGTGGGAAAATCAAAATGAGTTTCTATGTTTTCTTAGGTTTCGACATACAAGGATATTACTAATTAAGTATTTAACTAAATATTTATAAAAAAACAATGAACTAAGTTATTATTGAGCTAATCAATAAAAGAGGACTAAAGAAATACCGGGACTACGAATGGTTGGATGTGAAAATTGAGGGAAGCGCCGATTGACTGAGCCGCTGATAGTTGAGTGGCGGAGAGCAGGCGACTGCGCGACGGGAGTGATGTGAGTAGTTGACGACTGAAGAGGCGTGCTGCTGATGTGCTGCGTGTTGGCGTCTGACGGAGGATGAAACCGCGAAGAGAATCGGCGACTTGGCGGAGCATTCAACCGTTTGTGGATGATAGATGTCGATGGATCCCCAACTCCAGAGATGTTTGCTCGGCTTCCTCAAGCTTTAATTAATATTGGACCTTTGGTTTGTTGGACAAGAATATTGGGCCTAATATTTTTTTAATCATTTTTGGACTGCATCCCCATATCTACTGCTTCTCAAGACTACCGGTGGAACTGAGTTCTAGAACCTATTTCTACTTCGGAGTTTGGGGGAGATCATGAACTGATGAAGAGTCATATCTATAAAAAAAACAAGATTACGAAATGAGGAAAGGGTCAATTGAGTACATCAACTTGTACGAGGTGGAGTAAAGAATACACTATATTGCATTTGATCTTTTTAAGTATACAAATTTAGGATTTTAGTGTTGATTGAGTGCATTTGTTGGATTAACACGTTAATACAGTTGAGTTGGCTAACGAATATCGAGTAAGAAGGGGTAATAGACCGAGGTTATGGTGACGACCATCACGAAGTCGATAAAAAGGAAAATCGACCTTCGGAAGTCGACCTGCGGGGGGGCGTCGGCCAGTAGGGGTGCATCGAACAAGGAGAAGTCGACCTGCGGGGGACTGACTTCGACCAAGGGGAAGTCGATCAAGCGACTGGGGGCTAGCGTCGACCTTCAAAAAGTCGACCTATTAGCATTCAGTTATCCAACTCAGTCGTATTAACGTGTTAATCTAACGGGTGTAGTCAATTAACATTAAAAACACTACCTCATTACGAAATATAAGTCAATTAGTGAAACACAGGAATGAAGGACTATATTAATCGGAAAGGTTTAGTTGATCAGTGCGCGTCTAGAGATGGATGGTGGTTTATTTATGTGATGTAAGAATGTGAAAAATGTGTGTTTGGTAAAGAAAGAGGTATTGCGTGTATGAGAAATAAGAATAATCGCGGAGAAAGAAAATGATATATTTGAGTGTTCCTTTTTCTTATTCGAGTTAAAATTGTGTAATACGAATAGTGTATTTCAGATTTTCGACTTGAGTTGAACTAACATAAGATTTCAAACTATTGGTGTACAATCAATGTTTAATATTGTAAGAATGAAACTATAATCTTTATTTTAAATCTTTTTTATAATTTAAAGTGTGCAGTAAAGTCTCATATTGAAATCCTATAATACCTAAATCAAAACAAATCAAACAAGATCATATTAGACTGGGCCTGACAAGAATTAGACAATACTAAAAACGTGTAGAAAAATATCTATCACATCACATAAAAAGTAAGGAAATTGACGTAGATTTTTTTGGAGGGATTCACCAAAATCCATAGAGTATGTGATAGGGATATGTTAAATTCGTGTCAAAAACATTTTGGCACAAGCAGTTGGCATGAAATCACCGGTAAATTCGTGTCAATCCCGTAATTTTTGTGTGGTGATCATATCATTTCAAACCAATTAAAAACATCTTTAATAAAATTTTAATAAGAAGTCCATATTTTAATTACATATGCTATAACTTTTCTCAACTAAATAAGCAAGAAATTAATTTTTATGAATGACCAATATAACTTATAATCTCAAATCCAACAAGGTAAATAATATTGACTTTTGAAACATTAAATATTCAATAGCCGAAGGACGTCTTAATTTCTGTATTTTACTAAAGTTTCAAAAATGATATCCAAGGAAAAATAATAGTAATTAAAAACAGTAGAAGAAAATGTTACGGTTTAATCTGAGGATATTTTTAGCTTATAAATTGAGGTTTACGAAAAGGAGATGAAACTGAAATCGGAATGAAGACGTTTCTCAAATGATATGGTATTATGTGGTCTAATTTCTAAGTAACTTCATCTCTATGAATATATTTTTCTGTGATAGGGTAATGCATTTTTTATTACATTTATTCAAATTTCAATCCATCTTTTCAAGCTACTCATGTTTTTAAATGGTTTGCATGGTTCACAAAAGAAAGCCAGAAGTAGAGAATATTTGGACTTTTAAAATCCTCACTTTGATTCATACTTACATTTGGTAATTGTAATTTACACTTTCTCTGTTCTTTTTTAAATGCAACATTGGATTTTTTTCATTATTCTCATGTTTTACTTTGATTCTACTTTATTATTTAATTTATTACAAATTAAATTAAAACAATTAAATTGCTCTCATTTTAATGTTTCAAAATATATATTTTTAATTTTTTTACTAATAAGGTATAAAAGATATTAATGGTTAAACTTGTGCGTTGGCATACTTGAAAACTGGACCATTGCATTTAAAAAAGAACGAAGGAAGTACTACATATTTATCAAAATATTGATATACACTTACATTAGGTTGTTTATTTTTTCATGTTAAGTAATTAATTTTGCCAGCTATATTTTAAAATATCATCTTTTTTTAACGATGGTATTTGTTAAAACCTGGGGTTCCATCCTAAAAGGTCAACCTGTTAGGAGGAGTAACACATGTCTTAATATAGCACTTTGTTGATTCAAACTTTTCCGGTGTGGGATTCTAACACCCCTCCTCACGACCAGACACTTCGTATGGATCGTGCCGTCAGTCTTTTTTTCGTCGGTTCGTCATTGTCATTTTTTTAATCATGTCGTCATTTTTTCATAAGGGGGCCCACACCATGGTTATGGATCGGTTTGGCTCTGATACCATGTTAAGACTTGGGGTTTCATCTTAAAAGGTCAACCTCAAAGGAGGAGTAGCTCAAAGCCTTATATAATGGTTTATTGTTTTATAGCTTTCCGGTGTAGGACAAATACTCTAACACGCCCCTCAACCCGAACCGGTCTGGATAATACCAGCGTGTATAAATGGGCCAAACAGACCCTTAACAAGCTACCTGTAATCATGGGTGCTAAACAAGTTGTCAAACCACAACCGAAATTGACTCTGATACCATGTTAAGACCCGGGGTTCCATCCTAAAATGTCAACCTGATAGGAGGAGTAACTCATGTTTTAATATAGCACTTTGTTGATTCAAACTTTTCCGGTGTGGGATTCTAACAATATTATTTATTATTTTCTCTTTATTATTTTAAAATATCATCTTTTTTAATATATTCCAGTGCATCACATGAGTAATATTCCTGTGCATCGCACGGGTAATATACTAGTAATTATAAAAATAGAAGTATTCATCAACAAAATACATTTCATTTAAAAATACACATTCTTCGAGCGTATTTAGCTGCAGAGTCATCTATCGAACTTTCAATGTCAATCTCTAAGAGTGTTTCAAACTCTATTGATATCATCGTCAATCCATTGAGTCTCTCTTGTGACGAATTTATCAAGAGGTTCTTTTTTAGATCATCTAAGAACCTTATTTAATACTATGTACCTAGTAGTGAATTTGTCTGACCTCCTTTTTTGAGACAGGGTTAACTTTCCAATCTTCTTTTCTTTTAAAGCTTGTCATACCAAGATAAAGATAGATATTTCTTTGTAAACATAACTAGTATTCCACCCATGCGTTGCACGGGATGAAATTATAAATATTACTCCCTCTGTCCCAATTTGATGGTCTCGTTTCTTTTGAACACAAGTTTTAATAAAGTGATTGAAAAAGTAAAAGTTGTGGTTGAGATTTGAGTATAATAAAGTGAAATGATATGGACCACATCTTTCTTTCCAAAAAGGGAAACATGACCATCATTTTGGGACATCCCAAAAAGGAAATACAGGACCATCATTTTGGGACGAAGGTAATATAAATTTTACTATATAAATGCATTTATTAATGTGGATATAAAACTTATATATCAACTTTCACGGGAAAGAGAATATCATTAACAAAATAAAGAATAATTCAAAGTTTAATAAATGTACACATTACAAAATCATAAATATCTCACTAAATAGTGTCTTTTGTTTTTTTTCAGTTTTTTTGTCATCCCATAGATAAACTTGAAGATTTTTTCGGGGTAAACAATGTTCATTGTCATTGTGCAAGAAACCATTAAATAGAAAGCACTCATTATTTTCAAGGATCTCCGTTTTCTTTTGCTCAAAATATGTGTAAAACGTGTTTTTTAAATATGTTTAAAACATGTTAAAATTGCAAAATAAGAGCAACCGTTTTTCATTCCCCTAATAAGACTTACTTAAACATATTAAAAGCAAAAAAAAAAAGTAAAAACATCCCAATCTAAGCATGAATGAGTCCGATTTTGAGAAAAAAGTAATGTATCTCTTATTTGAGAAAGTCTATTATGTGTACTCGTGAATAGATAACCTTTTCTTTTAAATAATGGTTGACTTTTCAAAGAAATCCTATTTTGAAATTCTACAGTAGAACTATAATGTTCTTATTCCTTAAATAAGAATAATTACTATCAAACTTCAAAATAAAATCATATTTAAAGTCTCATGATGCCAAAACATGACAACCCTTTACCTACAATTATAAATAGATTAGAGTACAATGTGAATAAAACAACGTTCTAATCCATTCCACTAATTGTGATCCATTGAAGTCCCTATTGCTCCATTGACCTATTCCTTTGATTCTCGTGCGTAAACCACGTGGTTATTTCATGTTCTTGTTATTAGAATTATAAAAAATGGTCTAATAATTGTGTTCACGTGTCTTGAGTCCGTAAAACAACATGGTTGTAATTTGCTAGTTTGATCTGTTTAAATTTGGTCTGCTAGTTTGATATGTTTAAGTTTGGTCTGCTTTCGTCTGAACTAGTCTCGTAAATGTTTGGTCTCTGTATTTTGAAACTACGAAGTCTGATCTGATTTGTTTAAATCTGGCCTAATCTGTCTAAGTCCGGTCTGCTCTGGTCTAAGACTAAAGAGAGTCCAAGTAAAAATATCCTTAAAGTTAAAAACCTCAACCATATACACAATGTTTAACAGATTTGCAAGAAAAGTTGTTGTCGAGTATATGTTATAAATTGAAGTTCAATTTTAAAATTCATACAAACTAATGACCGCAGCATGAGCATGGCACAGTAAAACTTTGGCAAAATTCCTCTGACTTACACCAACACTATCTATTTTCCATTATCTTATTCTATCACATGTTTTATGTCCTCTCTACACAACCTTATTTGCAGCATTGCCTACCAGGGTCTCAATTGA